GCGCGCACATAGCATTTTACATGCAAACCATAAAGTTCCATCTTAGTCTCAACCAGAGCATCTTCTAACCCTGGCTTCTGGCAAATTTTACACTTTGTTCTCCCCTTGCTACCCTTTCCATCAAGGTCAGATTTGTGGAGTCTATGACTAATAGTTTCCCTGCCAACAGATTTTTCCACTCGAGATGATGACCTTTGCAATTCCTCCAGATTTATCGTTGGCTGCTTCTCTAATTAAAGCCCTCTTCACGCAGCCTGCTGAGTCAAAGTCGACGGCCGTGTCTTGGTAGGTTTGCAGGTCAGTAGCGCTCTGTGAGATGTTGAAGGATGAAGATGTGGCGTTTTTCCCTGATCCCACTTCAGTCTATATGTGTTCTATAAATCCCCAATTCACAGCAACTGCATTTTTTTCATAAAGTAAACAGATTCGAATGTAATCGTAAAAAAATACATAATCAGACCAATAACATATCAACGTGACATTGTGTTTATTTGGAGAACAAGGTGTCAAATAGAGGAGTTTATAAAAAATATATTTTCATTAAAACTATCCACATGTTTTGACACTATTGTGTGTGACAGTTAATGAAGCTTCTTCTCCTCCAACCAATCAGAGCCAGGAGGAGTGACTCAGCGTCGTCAATCATGCTTGCCAACATGCTGCTAAACACAGTGGAGAAAACAACGTACCGTTCAGGAAAACCGTTTGCATGCCATGCTAACGAGCCTTAGCACTCACGGCTGCTTGCGCTGCCGATTATCAAATATGTAAAATTATATACATTTTATAAAAAGGTACGTACAGCAGCTTTAAAGCTGGATAGGCAAAAAAAAAAAAAAAAAACATTATAAAATAAAAAAAAAAAAATACAAAAAGCTCTGAAAACTGTACATGATTTAACCTGCCCTCTGGCATTCAGAGTGAACACCCAGCGAAAGCATGAAGCATCCTGTAGTTAATCTTCTCGCTGGACGGCTTTAATGGAACGGTGTCAAGTGGCAATATCTGGAAAAGCCATTGGAGTGAATCTAATGCGATCAGAAGAACCTGTTTTTGTCTCAGAGTAAAAAAAAAGTAAAAGTGAAAATAATTTTAAAAAACATACAGTAGAGAGAAAAAGAGTGAGAGAGAGAGAGAGAGAGAGAGAAGACCCAGGTGAGCCACAGCTAACTGTGCAAACCCGCATACATTAAATTGTCTCATCTTGTTCAGTTGCTTCAGTTTTATTTCTCTGCAGAGAGATTTCGATGTCTTAAAGCAAAATGTTTCTCTTTGCAGAAGTTTGGGGTTTCTGTTACTTAGAGATTCATTCCAGAAACTATTTCTTGCCAAAAGAAGCCCTTTAAAATGTTTTGAAGCTATGAGAAAATGGCCCTCCGTGACACACACAAAATAGTTTATAGTTTTTCTATGACAAAAAAAGGTTAAATGTGAGGCGTTATGTATAATTATTACTATTAGTAATTAAACACGCAGGGTTTTGTTTGCTTGCTTTAATGTGCTTGAAAATAGACGCTGTGCATTATGAAGGAAGCCTCATGCTTGACATAAGAAATTTACAACAATTACCAGAAACTACAAAGGTTTCACACAAAATGATGTCAACCTTTTTCAACTGCTCAAAAACTCCCTGTTGGACGTCACAAACAAGTTTGACTAACTGAAAGTTTCATCGAGTCTGTTTTTCAATCTGAAAGAGGATCTGAGGAGGAAACCAAAGATTGGGAAAGCTGGAGCACGTCAACAAAAATAAACCAATCAAAAGACGCAAAAAGCTGATCAGCAATTATCAAACGTGTTTCATTGCACAAACACAATTTTTCGCTCTGAATTGTTTTGTCTTTGGAGAGACATCTCTCTCATTTCCCATGAGAAACAAAGATATGTCTTTGAGGGTTTGCATGTTTTTTCTGTTATTTTTCTTTGTTTATATGCAAGATTTTTAGAGTCTCGGGACTCTGAACGCACCGTCTGCCAGGTGACCTTTTTCACTGGAGCACCGACCCCCCGCAGTGCACTCATATGTGTGTGATCCACTGAGGGTGTGTGCGTGTGTGATTGTTTTATTGCAGCTCCTGTCCTACACACAGAGAGTGCATTAATGCCCTCCCTCCTGTGGCCATCTCTCTCTGTCCAGGTGGAAAGAAAGCCCACACCTCACACCCTCAGCTTTTTCCTTATCATCCTCTCTTCCAAGACCCCCTGCAGGTTTATCCATGCTTCATGGGACACAACTTATCCACCGAAAAAGCAAAAGAAATAAAACAAAATGAAATAAAATAGAAGAGAGGATGAATTCTGGTGTCATAAGCTGGGTCAGCGTTGTTATTCTGATTAAGATTTCAACTTGTATATTCTTTTGTTTGAGGTAATTTAGATTCATTTTATGATGAAAATCCAGTTGGCTCGTTGAAATGTATTTGCAACCATTACAGGTTGCGTAGCTTCTTTTTGCTAGCAATTTTCAGCCAATTCAAATTTACCGTGCAGCTTCTCCGAGTCCAGGAAACGGAGGACATGAAGATGGGTGTCCAGTCACGCTTAGGGTTTATAAAATAAAACGTAACCAAAACTTGATGTTTTCGGCTTCCATTGGTAAAACTAGACAAAACGTAGCGTGAAAGTGAGCGAAGATTTCAGATCCAGTAGGACGACCCAACCAGACGGAGCCGGAGCTTGAACTCAGACCAGACATCTTAAGTGTTTTTTCTTTTTATTTCAATGGCTTGACATAAAGCTTTAATGAAGCGTAACACACCTTCTACTTGTTCTGTGTATGCCTGAAGCAATATTCCTCTCTGGAAGGAAAAAAAAAAAAGCAGTGTTAGGAATTGTTTCACAATTCACACCTGTGACCTCATGTTTCTCAGAAATATGTGTCATCCTCTGTGCCACCATTCCAGACCTACGCAATGTGTTTTTACACAATTGAGTGTAACTGGAGCTCATGCAGTCATTTGTTGCACGTTTTTGTCTGCAAGGTTCTGCAAGCCTTCCTCAGACCAGTGCGCTCCGTCTTTAAATGAGAGCGTTGGTTTGACAGACGCCGTGACGGGCTGGGGGTGAGGAGGGCCGGAGCGGGGGGAGACAGGCTCATGTTTAAGCCTCAGCTGGAGGGAATCCTTTTCCAGCTCTGAGTCTGCTGCTATAAAGGTTTGACCTCTGACCTCTCTGAAACAGAGAGAAGGAGGGTGAAGGGGAGCGGGAGGGTGGGCTAAGTGAAAGGAGAATTTCTCCACTGGGGCCATTAATGTGTCCAGGCACAAGCAAGCGTCACTGTACCTGAGGTTTCTGTAAAGAGTGTTAACGTCGCTGGATAGAAATGTGGGTTAAGAGAGTGTGTAAAAGTGCTGCGTCAGACCTGCTCCGCCTGGAACACATGACACACTTCAGTCATTTTAAAACAGCTGACAGAGCACTTACAGCTTGGTCTGGATTTCTTATTTATTTATTCATTTATGTATTAAAAACAGGTCAAACTAATTTCGGCAATATGATGACAGCACTAACATCACAAAACTAGCAATTAATTTTATACTCATTTCCATAATGCCTGGAAATGAATTCTAATTTATTTAAACATATATTTATAAAAAAAACTTCACCTGTAATCATGTGATGATTATTATTATTATTATGAGAATAGCTTAAATATATTTCTTATTTGTTTATTTATTTATTTTAGTTGGCGTTGTTGTTTAGCTTGACAATGACTTTTAGAATTTTTTTCTTCACCAGCAGCAATAGAATATTTTTTTTAATATATAAATATATTCTTAACAATTTTGCTTGTTATCTGGGTTTTGCCAGCAGCTCGTTGACAAACGCGGCCTTGAAGTCGAACCGGGTCGGTCCACCTGCATTGTGAAAACTTACATATAAAATGCTTTCAAAGAAAACTTTTAGTTCATAAAAACCACAGCAAAATGGGGGGAAAAAAAAAAAACCTACAAGAAAAGTTCTCACATTGTGGATGTTTTTGTTAAGAGGTTTTCAAACCAAATCAGGTTTGAATTTCTCAATATGTTAAATTCAAAACAAAGCCTAAAACTGACCCCGGATTGTCCTGTGAAGGCCGTTTCCATTTTTAGGCATTTGCTGGGTTTCCTTTAAACTGTCTGTTTTGTGTATTACGGTAATTGTGTCCCTAGAGATATACAGTAGTCCCATCACCATCATGACTTTGTGACCAAACACACCGAACCGCAACATCCTCCCACTGCGGTTTTTATCGACGGCCGATTAAATCGCCTGTAGAAATCAGGACTAGTTCCCACCTGTCCGGTGATTGTTTTTGCCGCTTTTTTTCTTCCTTTTTTCTCTCGAAAGCTCGTTATTCCCATAAAAACAGCTCTCCAGCGTTAGATCTGCGTTTGTTGGGCCCCTTTACTTCACCACTGGTGGGTTTCTTTTTTTTTTTTTTTTTTTTTTCCCCTCTAAAGCGCTCCAGCCAAAACAACATTTAACAGCCTTGCCTTTCCTCGGTGCCAGTTCCCATTTCAAGCTAATGGGAACAAAACGAAGGAGTGGAGACGAGAAAAAAAAAAATCGCAGCTATATTTGCGGCCGGTTTTTGGTGGGAGGCCAGATATCCTGTGAGGATTAGGGCACGTCTCCTCGCGAGCCTCTTTTACGGCCTTGTTTTCAATAGAGATCCTCGTTAATTGGAGACGCTTTGAGCCGCGTGGGTAATTGACCCTCGTGCGGGCAGAACGCGGTGTGAACGATCAGTCACATTAACAGACAGGAAGGAGACAGAGAAACCTCCGAGCACACTCTTCGTGTAAACACTTTTCATATTCTGCTCGGGCCTCCCGGGCGAGAATGAACGACGGACAGGATGTTTGCTGTCGTCGACGCCTACAAAGACGACTGTATAAATACGTCGGCGGACGATTAACAAGTGGATGATAAATATCGATTGTGTGCAGTTGTTTAAAAGAAAAAGAAAAGAAAAGGCGTTTGAATTAGACTGAAAACTTTAAAAGGGAACATGTGTCTCCAAACAACAACAAAAAAGACGTTTATTGGCGTCTAAATGTGGCTTCAAATGAAAAGACTTCAAGGGAAAAGACGTCAGAGACATAAATCAATCAATAAATAAATATGTCTAAAGTGTGGTCGGAAATACAAGGTGATTAAAAAAAATAATAATAATGAAATAAAATACAATAAAGACTTACTGTCGACATGCGGGTGGAAAGTGAAGCAAAATGTGAAAAAAAAAGACGTGAACAACGACGGGGGTCAAAAAGGCATAAAAGCTGGAAACTCAGAATATCTCCATAAAATGACACTGACGTCTAAGGGAGAGGTACAAAAAAAGATTGACAACAACAACAAAAAGTCTAAATAGGTGTCTAAATGTGTTGAAACGGGGAAAAGACGCGCACAGCAACACGTCCCTGTATTTTAAATTGCGGGTGGCTCCGATGGGCCACCAGTGTTTTATATAAGCCGTGTTTGAGCTCCATCCGCTTGGCTTCACAATGGCGATTTTCCACCTTCACCTCCAGCGTTTGAACTGCGAACACCAAAAGCTGCGGATACGAATCTACAAAAACAAAGCAATAAAAAACAAAACTTTTTTTTTTTAATTACAGATGAGATGAGACGTTTGCAAACATCTCGGGCTGATGGAGCTGAAGGTGTTTCACAGTCCAGGCTGTTCAAACAAAGTGTCTTCTTTCAACGCTACTTTCCAGTTCTGTGTTTTTTTCTCCTTCTTCTTCTTTCCATCGACAAGAAAAAAGAAAAAACTCCAGCACGGCACTTTTGTTCCCCTCAACTGAGCGAGCGAGGACAGATAAGGTGTCATCACTCCGACGTGGAGATGAACGTCTCCCCTGTTCGGAGATGCGCGTCTGGATTCTGCGCCACATGTTCCGGCCTCTTGACTTGTGTTGCTTTTACCAAGTGCTCGACTGAGTGTCTCCGTTTTTTCTTTTTTCTTTTTCCTCTCTCTTCCTCGTTTTTTTCATTTCAACGCGAAAATAAAACACAATATTTGTTTCTCCGCCCAACTCATTTTCTTGCATTTTCGAATGCTTTAAAGTAAAAACTGCAAAAGAAAAGAAAATAATGAGATTTATTTTTATGGTTGCACCTTTAGTTTAAAGCAATAAAAATATATAAAAGTTATCTAAAGGTCTGCTATAAATTAGGGGGCAATAATGATCCAGAATCACAGGAATAAATCGATTTTAGTCCGTGGATGTTTTTTTTTCTTTTATTGGAAAGTTTATATGGAACTATATGAGTCGCTTCATTATTCCTCCGTTAAGCGCAGAGCTTACATGCAGTCTCTTTCCAAATAAAAATGTAAATACTATTCATCATCATCATCATCATTGTTATCATCATATATTGTCGGGAGGCTGAGATACTTCACGTCGTCGCGGCTCTAATTAGACACTTGAACATATCAGTCCGACCTCCTTCAAAAAAAAAAAAAAAACAAAACAAAGAAACCGAATTAAGAAAGAAAAGCAAAAAAAAAAAAAAAACAAAAAACAAACAGAACAGAAAGTCTGCATATGGCTCTTCTTGGAAAACCCCAATGTAAACAATACAGGCAGGGGGAAACCGAGTCTCCTACAATAACAACGGTGCAGGAATTAAGACACGTTTTTATTTATTATTATTATTATTCTTATTGTTTTCAACAATATAAGATAATATGTAATTACATTCAGATATACGCCTTTGCTTCTCATTTTCCTCCCCTACCAGTTCTCTCCTCCAGCGAGACCGAAGTGCTGCGAGAACCTGACGTCCGCTTGATCAGCTGCTGTCGTTTAAGTGCTTTAAAGCCTAAGATTGTGGTTGTTGAAAACTTCACAAATTTGAAGTTTGAGATGAGAAGAAGTGGCGGGAAAACGTCTTTTGTTTTTTTAGTTTTTGTTTTTTAAAAAAAGAAAAAAAAGATGCATTTTACTTGCGCGTAGACCCAACAGGTTTGTCATGGTGGCTGTCCTCGCAGACTCCCAGTCTTTCTTACCGCAAGTGCTTGAAGCTTCGCTCTCACCACCATCTCCAGAAAAAAAAAGAAAAGAAAAACAAAAAGGTTTTTTTTTTGTCTCCCTCTCAGTGTCCTTTCTTTTTTCTTTTTTTTCTAAGAGCCGAGGTCCACGAGGTTAGAAGACATAGAGTTCAGTATAGTGTCATGGTGCACCGAGTGGTGATGGTGCACCGAGTCTGCGCCGCCGGGCACCGGGATCGCGCTGGGTCCCGGCGGCGGCGCGAGGCCGTGCAGCGGCGGCAAGCCGGCGTTCGAGCCCAGGAGCAGGGCCGGGCTCGGGGACGTGTGATCCGGCGTCCCCGAAGGCGTTTTGTCGTCATCCGAGCTCCCCAAAAGAGTTTTATTTCCGTTCATGGAAGACGATAGCGGGTTGTGGCTGTTGCTGTTGGAGTTCTCGCTGTTTTCCCTGAACGGGAGAGGAATTCAATTTTAATCTGGCGCAAACTCATTCAACAGGCATTTCACAGCATTGACATGTAAACATATATATATATATATATATATATATATATATATATATATATATATATGGAAAGGAAGGAGAGATTAAATATGCAATGCATATTTTTGTAAATTGGTGAGACGTCATTTAGAAAAAAGACACACAGACTATAAAAACAACTTTTCAACAGTGAGACATTTTACCCCTTTTAGATTTTCCAATCATGGATATTGATTAGTATATGCACTTTTTAATGGGTACATTCTTAAACCATTGTTTTATTGATTATTATATGATTTATTATATGATATAAAACCTGAAAACTTTTCTTAGAATTGAATTGTTCTCAGTCAACTGTTATTGCAATTGTTCAGAGAATGGTACACACACAAAAGGACTTTGGGAACTCTCAAATTTTAAACATTTAATTCACTACAAATATATATATAAATATCAAGAAAATGTGTTTGTTAATGTGACGTTCAAAAGAAAAAACTCCCATTGCTTGCTAATTTATTTGTGCAGTAAATCCTTCACATTCAAACTAAAGTTTAACTGGGAATGACGGTTCAGTCGACTGATATGGGAAAGTGTTTATGTTTACAACTATAATGACTATATGAGCTCAGAAAAGGAGAAAAAACAGTCACACTGTACAACAGAAACGGCTTTGATTTGTAAACAAATAGCATTAGCTAGTTCAGTGACGTCAAGCTCGCTAAGGTCGTCGACCTTTAGCCCTGAATCGGTTGTTGACAATGACCGGCTCTTCTTAGCTGTTGCTACCGGGTGAAGAGTTCCCATGCTGCCTTTCACACACACACACACACACACACACACACACACACACACACACACACACCACACACACACACACACCACACACACACACACACACCCACACACACACACACACACACACACACACACAATCTCTCTCTGTAACTATTTCAGGAACTTGTTCTACTTTAGCTAAAGTCAAAGCTCTCCGACGCGGTGCCTGTGTGTGTAAATTCCCATTTTATTTTATCCCCTGAAGGCGTCAGTCGGTGCCAATGAGCAGCAGGTCTCAGCCGTGGAAGTTGAGGAAAAGTTGGACATTTCACCGAGACAGAATATCTAGGTTATATATATTTTTGGAAGAGTCTACTATTAGGTGTTTGAGCGCTGAGGTTTAAAAACTTTGTTGCAAGTGTATAAACATCTTCTGCCTCCATCAGAAGCGAGTTTGCGTGTCTTGTTTCTGTTGATGTGCACTGTGCATAAGTTATTGTCAGAGATGTTATCTGAAGTGTGCACAATGCAAGTCGAGGTGCATCGCTGCAACAGTCTGTTTTGTGAGTGCAGAGCGATTGATTATAACTTATTTGCAACTGCTCTCTTGCGGAAAGGCAGAGAGATCACGTACTAACGCGGCAACCAGCAATCCATTCGTGCATACCTGGTCATTAAAGAAATAATAAGACTCTCGTTTGGCTGCCATACAGACTAAAAAAAAAAAAAACACACACACACACAAAAACAACGACAGGCGGCCATAAATCCCGACCTTTTCCAAAAGTCATTAGAGCTTATTAGCTAAATCAATCGCTGTGTCGAAACATTTGTAATTTAGGGTTACAGGTGGCACAGTTTATATACGTGAGCGCCGAGCCTTTCCCCTGCACGAGCGCATGATTTACGTGGAGCTTTCAGCCCGAATTAGTGGCCAGAGGCTGAAAGAAGACACCAGCTGGGGCGCACACCTCTCTGCAGAGCCTGCCTGAGTAATTCCCCCCTCCAACAAAAAAAACAAAAAACAACAACAAAAAAAATCCTTCAAATGTAGCCTACACGCTGGAAGCATGGACTGTAAAAAATAAAAATAGAAAAAAACTTTAAAAAATACAAATAAAAAGCATCTACCTACAGACATGTCCTCAGATGCTTCTGCTCACTCCAGGGTTGTTTGGGTTAACAACATATTTGTGTGTTTGCGCGCGCGCGCGCGTGTGTCTGTTTCAGCTTTTTTTTTGCTTTTTTCTGATGTTGATATGAAAGTAAAACCTCGGGTGATAATAAGTGTAATTACCACGGCATAAAAGGAGAGGTAAACGTACGCTTACATGTCCTTGTAATTTGCCGAACGGTGAACCTTTTAATTTCCTGTCTTCCAAACTTTTGCACTCCAACACTTTCCGCAGACGCCCAATAGCAAGAAGAAGAGCGAGCCCGGACTGTTTTGATATGATTTAATGTAATAAATAAATAAATGTGGTCAAAGAGGCAGAATGAACAGCAAGGGTCGGAATGTTTTGGACATATTTTCAGATGTAGGTCAGCGCGTCAAAGTGCTTGTGACTCAGCACCATGTTGTTTTTACATGACTCTGCTTTTTTTTTGTTGTTGTTTTTGTTTTTAACCCCCCTTTTCCACCATGTTCATAGTTTTATCTGCAGACGCGCCTACCTCTCCTTCGCCTCCGCCGCCCGGTCCCTCTGCCGCCGGTTCTTGAACCAGTTGCTGACCTGCGTGGTGGTGAGTCCCGTGGCCTCGGCCAGCTCCCTCTTTTCCCGCGGGGACGGGTACGGGTTGTGGGTGTACCACTCCCGCAGCACGCTCCGGCTCTTCTCCTTGAAGCAGTAGCTCGTCTCCTCCCCGTCCCAGATGGAGCGGGGCAGCGGGAACTTTCTCCGGACGCGGTACTTCCCCACGGCCCCGAGCGGGCGGCCGCGCAGCTTCTCCGCCTCGATGTAGTGCGCCTTGAGCCACAGCTGCTGCAGCTTCGGGTGGTTGTGCGGCGAGAACTGGTGGCTCTCCAGGATCTTGTAGAGCTCTCGGAAGTTGCCCCGGTGGAAGGCGACCACGGCTTTCGCCTTGAGGACGCTCTCGTTCTTGTGGAGGTGCTCGCAGGCCGGCAGGGACCAGAGGAAGCGTCCCAGCCGCTCGATGTTCCCCCCTTGCTGCAGGACCTCGCAGACGCACGCGACCTGCTCCTGCGTGAAGCCAAACGTGGGGAGCATGGACATGGCGGCGGCCGCAGACCCCGCGCAGATCAGATTGTGCCTCGCTTCCACGTCTCGCGTCTCAGTCTCTCATTAAAGCGACACGCAGTAAGTCCACGAGTGTCAGGGAAAAATAAGATTAAAAAAAAAAAAGGAAAGGAAAAAGAAAAAACAAAAAAAACAACAACAGTGTCCCAGAAGAGCAACCTATACGCACTCAAGGGTTAGGGGGAATATCCAGCTCCAGTGCCCACTGAGCCATGCAGATCCCCAGGCGACAGTTCCTCGTGAAAGTTGCGGCGAAAATACAGAGAGAGAGAAAGAGAGAGAGAGAGAAATGTGGAGCTCCTTCCTTCCTCCGTACGCCTCCACCTTTTCTGCGCCGATTCTGCATAAACTACTCCCGGAGAGCAGACTCGCCGGCTCGTTTTAATAATATTATTCTAAGCTGGCAAGACAAGCGATTATATGAACTCTGATTGGTCGGTTATCTGACCCGGGGATGGCGAGGATAAGACAATAGCCTCAGTCAAATTATTTGCCATGGTAACGCTGTCACTCAGCGTAACCCGATACCCTTTGAGGTGGCAACTTGGCAAAGTCGAGCCGATTGTTCCCTGCGTGTCCAGCCCGCCCTCCCAATAGAAATATTGCTCAGATTTTTTTTCTCCCCCCCTCCCCCCCCGTTCACCCTCTTCTACCTCTCTTAAACGCTTTTATTACTCTTCTCTTCTTCTTCTTCTTTTTTTTTTTTTTTGACGGACACTCGGGGCAGCCAAAGAGCGCGCAGCAGAGAGGAGGCGCGGGGCCGGAGGGGAGAAGGAGAGAGCCGCGCTGTTCTCGCGGCTGGAGGGAGGATGGCGCCAGAGCGCGCAGGGGCAAGAGATCACCGCGTCTTCAACGCGCCTGGAAGCGCTCTGAAGTGAGCCCGAGACACTGACACTCTGAGATACAATAAATAAGATAAATTAATGATGAAATAAAGTTTAACTTTGAATGTTAACGAGCAAAAAAAAAAAAAAACAAAAACAAAAAACAAAAACAAAACAAATCAATACGTCTAACAATAATTAAAACATTACAAAAAAAATAAATAAAATAAATAAATAAAAAGAAACTTCATGAATATCTAAAGACGAATGGTTCTCAGAAGGAAGATTATTTTCTCCAGGAAGTCAGACATGGATGTTTTCGGTAGAAGCAGCTGCTTGGTTCAAAAGTCTCAAACTCAGCGAAGCTCCCGCGTTTAAAGTCAAAAGAAATGCTGCATGTAAAAAGTGCTTGGGAGGGAATTAATATGAATATTTCCCTTGAATAAATATGTTTACCTATACAGTTTTTTTAAAATTATTATTCCTAGGCCTCTTGTTTAAAAAGATGTGGTATGTTTTTTTTAAAACCTATTTTAATATTTCAACTTGATTCATTTTTTGTTGTTGTTTTTTTAATATATAAACGGGATAGCGTTACCCCGCCTGTAGCCCCCCCCCCCCTTGTTTCTTTTTTATTTTTTTTGCATAAAGCGGTTGTATTGTTTCTAAGTCTTGTCAGATCCGACCACACAGAAGATGGACATTTAAATTAGAGGTGAGACAGTGGAGCAATATCTGGAGGTTCTGATGGAGAAAGCAGCTCCGCCCAGAACCCAGAACCCAGAACCCAGAACCGAGGAGGCCGGGAGGAGAACCTGAGAAAAACCGGCAGGAGGGAGAAAAGAAAAGAAAAAAAAAAGAAAGAAAAGAAAAGAAAACAGAAGAGAAGAAAGGAAAAGAGACATTGTTTTCGCTCCATGTCAAGACAGGACCACAGATCTCAGCTCTTCTCCAGTAGAGTGTCATAAATAAAAACGCCACTCCTCGTGTCAATAAGAGCCATTGCAATAATGGCAATAAATAACGACGAGAGCGCGAGTAATCTGAGTCTAGAGAGAGCTGGCTAAATTTGTTGGAAATAAATGATCAAACGGAGAGAGAGAGCGGAAGGACCTGTTTGCTGTCAGAAGTGTGACTTATTTCAGACGTGCTGCTGCTGACTGCGGGGCCAAAGACTCGACCAGCTGCTAGATTTCTATCGTCTCACCGGGGGACCTCTTTATTAGAGATGCTATTGTCAGCAACACCGGCGAACGGTATCACGTCACTCCACACACACAGTTGCTCCAAACTACACACACACACACACACACACACACACACACACACACACACACACACACACACACACACACACACGCACACGCACACGCACACGCACACGCACACGCACACGCTGACACACACTTTCCTCTGCTTTTTTGTGTTTGTTCTTGATGGCCGAATGGCACTGAATATAAACTGGAGATCTTCTGCTAAACGCGTCCAGCTACCAAATTGTATTATTTTTCCTAAAAAGAAAAAGAAGTTTGGTGCTTGGAATTAAAAACAAAAACAAAACAAAACAAAAAAAAAAAAAAAACCAAAAAAAAAAATCACATTAAATATTAAGCTCTCAGAAGAAACATTCAGTGCCAACACAAATATTAAAATTTAAATCTCCCTTTCTGTCTGTTTCTCTATCCGACGCTCACACGAGCCAATGGGACGCTGCGTCTCATCCGAGCCGCGGCGTTAAGCGCTGTTTAAAAAAAAAAAAAAAAAAGGAAAAAAATATATATGGCGCAATTACGACGCGCGTTTATTACCTGTAAGGAGAGCCCGCTCCCCGCGTCCGCACCCGGTTCTCTCCCACCCCGTTTCATGAATGGAAACGGGGTGGGAGAGGAAGGCGCACTTCTCGGGGTATTACGGAATTAGGCTGATTAATGGGAATCGCCGAGGGACCGTGCGTGGCGTGGAAAAAAGATAGTGGTGGGGAGAATCAGAAAATGACTTTAATTTCTTGGTCTTCAATAAAATTTAAGTTTTAACTCTGAATTATTATTATTATTATTATTATTATTATTATTATTATTATTATTATTATTATTATTATTATTATTATTATTATTATTATTATTTCAAGCTTTGCAATTCAGGGTCCTATTTCAAGGACCCTGAATTGCAAATAGGCTACTAGCGGCTCCGAGCAAAAACAGTGCTGCAGTGCATGTGTCGATGTTATGCTTACTGTATGAAAAGCACATTGAAATGATTAATGCTGTGTATTTTTATTATTATTGTTATGATTATTTTACTTATTTCCATGACTCTTCACTCAAAACTCTCCTTTGTTTCGAACTGAAGGAAATGAGTCTGAGAAATTTTGTTTAAATTTCTCAGATTTTTTTTATCACTGCTTTGGTGAAGGATGTGTTCTTTCTTCTTCAGCTGACGTGTCTTCCATCCTTCATTCATTCATTTCTTGGATGATGTTGAAAACAACACCCAGGTCCCGTTTTTGCACCTGCTGAGGTTTGTGCTATTGTTGTTGTTTTTGGTGTTTCCCATTGTTACTTATGATAAATAGTTGTTGTTTTTTTCTCTCCAACCATCTTTCTTTGTCCTGCAGAATGCTTAAATTGCTGTACGGGTTACAACACAAAGTTTGGTTTTGATTGATTTCTCTTCTCTTTTTTTTTCTCAGCTCTTTTGTGAACTGATAAGTTCTCTCTGAACCACAGTGCATCTAAGAGAAGAAGAAAAGGACAATGCTGAGACAGTTGCACTACAGCATGAAGAAAAATGCCGGCTATCAAACGATATAAACACAAAGTGTCTTCCTTGTGTTGGTTTGTTCACAATCAGCAGTGGGTGTGAGCGGGCCAGCAGGGACCGGGGTCCCATGTCTGTCCCCTGACAGTGTTTGTAAACCCCTTGTTTCCACAGATCAGTCTGATCAGAGGGCTCCGGCTCTGAAACGGTAACTATTCCAGCCGCTGATGAGTGAAGATCACGTTTCCCCTAATAGCCAGCCCTTTATTTTCACAACCTCCCACCGCTCACTTCAGCCACTCTGAACCACGTCCTCCAACTAATTGAGCTGATTATTGCAAGATGTGCATGTTTTGTTGTGCACGTGTGTGTTACACACAGACCAAGTGTTGATTTAAGTCTTGCAGGATTCTCATTTGAACTTTATTCTATAAAACTATTGCAACTCCCAGTTAGATTGATGATCAGAAACCTTTTAGGTAGGCAGACGTGACAGGGAGAGACTAGCAAATCGGTAATCTTTGTGTCGATCCTGGTTTAGGTGGTTATCAATGAGGATCTATTCGGTAATTGTCTGTTTACATCCATCTTGTCACCCCAGAGACCAGGTAAAGATTTCAGCAAGCATGAAGGGACAGCGGATAAGGGGTGAGGCAGGCGTGCCTGTGTGAGGGTTTGTTTCACGGAGGTTCCGGCCAGACGGCAGGTTCATCAGATTGGGGGGTTCGGATTCCAGCTCTGCTCTAAAATATACAGCCTCGCCGTTTAAAGGCAGTTAAAAGGTGAGAAAAGATCACATTCACCTGATGAGGATGATATAACAAACACGGCCACGTTAAGCGGGGCTGCATCCGAGGGTCAGGGGACATGAAGAGGGCAAGTCCAAGAAAAGGGGAATGTAAACGTGTCCAGCCAGCATGAAGTCTGCAAAACTTTATGTGCAGTTTAGCAAAACCCTTTGGAGAAGTTGAACACGACAACTTTACATTGAAAAGGGCTCCTTCATCCCTTTTCTTATTTGGTCTTATAGATACGAGAAAATAAGACCTTGTATTTATACTAACATGTTAAAGCATAAACATGTTAGTTTAAAATTTCTGCTCTTCTGAAAGAGTGACGCTACCACTGACAGGACAAAACTTCAGGAGCTTATTTAGCCCTGGATCCACCCACAGTGTGGATAAAATCTTAAATATTTTCATTTATGAATATTTCTGAGCCCCCCTCCCCACAATAACCCTTTCATTGTATTAGTTTCCATAAATGTAGGATGACATTATTTAAGTTTGCCTTAAAATCTGGACTCTTTTTATTTCATCCATGTGTTGCTCAAGGTGGTGACCACATGTCAGGTTTTCGCACACCGATAAATTCAACCACAATAATGTCAAAAGTAGCTCGTTTTCTAAAAGTGTGACACGGCTCTTCACCCTGGGCGTCATTGTGTTAGGGGTTGGCGCAAGTGCTTAAGAAGTTTGTGCCTAAACTGATGCTTGAATTAAAGTGTTATTTTAGCTTTCTTCTTTTTTAAGGAACGCAGACTGCATTTGATGGGCTCTGCTTGAAATTCAAAAAGATCTAAAAACGCATTTGTTTGTTCTTTTCTTTTTGGCATCGAGATGACCTTCGATTGGCAAAAAGGCTAAAAAAAAGCAATGCTTGGATGAAACAGATGTGGACTGAACGATAGATTTCTACATTCAACGCCATAGAAAAAAGTTTATGGTTTGTTTTGAGGTTGGAAATAATTTTAAATTAAAGATCATTTGTTTGGAAAGTTTCAAAGACAGAAGGCCTAAAACGATTATTCATGCCAACAAAATAACATGTCTGAGTTTGATTTGTCATTCTGATTTGGTGTATCTGAAACACTGAATCACTTGTCAACATCAGCACTCAAAACATGTACAAGTTACTAAAAAGTGACTATTTGTGCAGATCTGAAAGACAAAATGACAAAATAAATAAACATACATATTAATAACCGTTAAACAAAAGCATCACCCAGTTAAATCTGTACTTCTAGATGATACCAACAATCCAATCTTGTATTTTATTTCATGAAAAAAAAATTGAGCACGAACTGAAATGAACCAAGAGCCATTTAAACAGTCAAACAGTACCAGACAAGCAATTAAAAAAAAAAAAAAAACTATATAGTTTGTGGACGCTGATCAAAATCAGAGAGTGAAATCCCATGAGAGGTTTGTCAAGCAGCAGCCAAAAAACCGTCAGCATCCCACTCACCCCACTCACCCCACCGTGGAGGTGTGGACAAAACTCCCACGCCAAATGCAGATGGCCTGAACACAGCAGCAAAACGGCAACAAGTGTCTGTTTTTCTAGCAGGCTGGCCATCATGGCTGATGAGTAGCTGTGTCTGTTTGCAGGGAGCGGGGTCGGGGAAGGTGAAGGGGGGTGCTGCTGGGTGGTGAGTGAGAGCAAAAGAGAGAGCGTGGCGCTTTCGCTGCTGCCCTTAATTTATTCGATCAATCACTCCATTTGATTCTTGTTTATTTTCAGGAGTTGCACGGTCATTTCAGCTGCACACTGAGCCCTTTATGGACCGGCCAAGGCGTCCCCCCGCCCCCACCGCCGGGACTGTATAGCATGCATTAGGCCGTAATTTGAAAGGAAGAGTGGTTCCAGCACTTCTCAGGTATTTCACGGTTCCTAACCTTTATGGTGGAACGGCCAGAGTCCTGTCTCTCGTCAAGCTGGCAATGTGCAGGCGTGTAGGGCTTCAGTCCCACTCTGATTTATATCAACGCTGCGGGTTTCCCATTAATGACTTCAAACACACGCCGGTGTGGAATTACAAAACCCATAATTTGGTGAGTGTAATCTGGACAAAAGCAGGAATATTTAATGTGATTTCTTTGGCAGAAGGATGACAATTACAGCTTTTGTGAATTCACCAACTGATTCTTTCTTTCTTTTTTTTTTTGCATGCCTTTCACGGATCTAAATATTGTACAGATACACTTGTCATAGATTGCAAAGCAGTTGTTGTACATCAGTATGCTCTGACCTGCCAGGCCTAGCCGGAGGTTAGCTTGCTTTTGCTAACATTGTTATGGCACGCGAGTAAGAAACTGTCTTGGGACCAATATCCAGGATCAGATAAACTTCGGCCTGCTCCGCATCAAAGAGCCACAAAGGCAGGGCTGTATAATTGGCTCATGATTACCAGTTTACATTTTAAACAGTGAACAGATTGAAGACTCAAAATTTGAGGCTTCCATGTTTTTTTTCATTTTTTTTTTTCAGGATGAATAAACCCAAACAAGGGAGAAGAACTTTGGAAACTTGAATCTCGTTGATCTCAGAATAGTCTGTTTCTCCTTGTACTGTCCTGCGACATTCTGTCATTTGTTGTTTTTTTTCTCACGCGGCCGCCCACTGGACGATGTGGGGCTGGAAATTTGCAAAAGGATTTTATAAAAAATCGACTGCAGCAATTAGCAACGTGCTAATGCTTGAATTTGTATCCATTCCCGTGTGCAGGCTTTTTACAACCCTTTGTGGTTTCACATGAAATACAAGACTTGACCCAGTGTCAGTGGCCATATGGGCAGTAAATGCCTCTCTGATAGAGTCAGTGGTTGTGCTGATACTGTAAAACAGAGACAGCCTTATGATACATCACAAGATGGCCTTTCAAGAGCAAGACGATGATGGGCTTTGGTGAGACAGATGTTCTGGTTTGGAGAGATTTATATTTTTGTTGTTGTTGTTCTCTGTGGTCTAAAGAAGCAGCATTGTCCACTTTAGCATCACTGCTGACATTAACAAATTGAAAGCGACGCAAAACGACCCAAAAGAAATATCACAACACGGCATCACAGATTAGAGTGGATAAAAGGTGGACCAACAGGACGAGCTTTAGTTTTTTCAGCAAGTAATGAGCTAATTCGTTATTTAGCTATACTGAAATCTAACGGTTTGCAGTGTTGCTTAAAGACTGCGGTTTTAAAGACTGCGGTTTTAAAAACTGCGGTTATATCTGACTAGGTCAGATAGTGATCTGAGTAGGACTCAGCGGGAATGGAGGCATAAGGTGAATGTAACCAAGTTCCCAAACACCTGAGGAGCCACCCAACCTCATCGATCGCTGAGGACTCTGAGAAAAAACTTAAGCAGAAGCCCATGACTCCTTATGCCGTTATCCATTGACCTCTGATCTGGGGATGCTGTCCAACTAAGCTTAATTGTCATATTTCCAATTTTAAAACGCAGTGGGACTGATATGCTACCATGCTAACCATTGATATTGTTGGATTTGGTCTTTTACAACTCGAAACTTAAATGGTTTATCTTTTTGCTAGATTGTGCATTTTTATTCAGAGTACTCAAGCAGCACACACAGAGAGGCGATGAGCTGACCTGCAGAGAGTGACTGTATGTCAATCATACCTTAGTCTCTGTGTGTTGTGTGTTTGGTCTACCGCTATGCTATGCAATGCCTCAAAAAATTGTCATCTAAATAAATCCAGATGATTTATTTAGATGACAATTCATCTTATTAAGTAGAGTAAAGTGAGAAGAAAGTCTTAAATGTCTTTTCTTTGTTTTGAACATAACTCAAAAGATGCAGTTTTGAAGGCTTCTGCTGTGGTTAGCTGCAACCAAGAGACTCCTGGCACAAAAACTGGTCACATCTTTAATTTCGGACAGCATTAAGACATCCAACAGTTTAAATTTTTCTGTTTAAAATCGCGCCGTTATAAATAAAAGCCCATGCGTAGCTGTTTCGAAAACAAGAAACCAAATTTTTGTTCCAGTCTGTGGACCTCATCCGCTGTTCTGTAATGATAGACTGATTGAGAAGTTTCTTTATTTATTTTTTTAAACTTGGAAGTTGCTTCTTTGAAATTTCCAGCTTCTTCCTCTTGGCACCGAGTTACGCACCAATGAGTTCATCATACCCTTGTTGCTTTTCATTTTCGCTGCCGAGAGTCACCGTATGAAAGCAGGTTCTGCAGGTTCTACACAATCTATGCTTTGATATGTGTCCAGAAACATAAGTC